TATGATTAATTACGTCAGTGAAACGAGAGTAGGTAGACCTACTCAGCTGTCAATCATTTCTCAGGGAAGAGCGGCTTTCGTGGTGCGAATAAGTTTGCGTACAAAAGTAAGATTTTCTGGCATCTAGATAGAAACAAACAACCCAATTTTAACACGTAATGGTGTATAGACCTTCCCGATCAATAAGATGATAACAGGTAAGGTGGAGGTGCAATTAGTTTGCTAAATTAGCCCAATTACCTGAGCCAAATGGTTTATGAGCGATTTCTCAGCTTTGAAGATTGATAACATAGTCTAAACTTCAATCCCCATATCTCATTCTTTTCCTGTCAGATTGACATGAAATTTGATGTGTCTGTGTTTCAGTATAATATCTAGTCGACTGCTTCTTGGGGTCTTGATTGACTTTTTATTTTTGAAGTTATTAGTACTGAAAATGGATGGTCCATATATATTTCGTAAAATTCACGTTTTATCAAAATAAAATCAAACGTAAAAATAATAAGAGAAAATCCTGACAGAGTTTACTGGTTTTTGTGGTAACCTTTAGATAGCTATTTCAATCGTATTTATAGGGCTTTTTGTTTAAGAGAAAATCTTGATTAGAAAAATGACAATTTTAGCCCCAAAACGCTGATATTACGTCACTCGTGTTACACTGTGACTACAAACTTTGGAAAATCGTTTTGCTTGCTAGACCACATCCTTTAGTTAATAGGAAATTTAATTAGCTGCATTAGTTTTGGACTTTTTCGTTAATATCCTAGACCCCTTAAGCACCTAATATTATAGTTTTTCTTCCTGCCTTTGAAATGTTCAGTGCAAACGCGGTGCCCTGCTTTTGACCCAAACCTGCTATATTTTCCTTTCTTTCTACTATATTTTTCATTTTAACGGGTTTGTTGGGAACTTATTAAACCTCATGTGTCGATCTCGCTTACTGTTATTGTAGCAGCAGGACAAAAAGCACATAAACCCAGCCATGGTTTTTAGCACCGCTGTAAGTGTTTCGACATAGCAAGGACTCACTTTCCCACAATGCAATTTCCATTTCCGGAAAAGATGAAAAAGGTTAATAGGATTTCCTATAAGATCCTATAAGAAATTAATGTTAGTTAAAATCTTGAGAAAAATGCATATCTTATAAACAAATATCATTCTAAACAACAGATATTTGATATAGATCAATTTAATTAGTTGAATTGTCAATTAAATATCACTATTAAAGCAAATAAGCTTTTTATTGTTTATAATGTACAATCTCTTACTCTTCTATAGAAATTCTTTAATTTCTATTTTTAAAAAATGTTGAAAAAAATTGATCATTTATAAAGCAATCTTTTATGGAGAAATATTTTTTTATTAGGAATGTTTTTGTACCAAATTGAAGCTGAAATTTTTTTTAAATTTATGTTCAGACCATTACAAATATTCCTTTAGGATCCTATATAGGAAATCTTATAGGAATTTCTATAGGAACCTATAGGAAATCCTATTATAATTCATATAGGCAATTTTTGATAAGGGTTGAATGAAAAATAATAAATCTGGTCTAAATATCAGAATATGATGTATTTTTACTATTTTTATGATGATATTCTTTAACTTATATTTCTTCTATTATATCAAAGAGTTATAACAGGATGTTTTCTTTCGACTTTTAGGTGATTTATCTCTAGGGTGTACAATAAAAAGCTATCTATCATCGATAGAAATTAAAACTCATGGCGACTCTCCTCAGTCACCATCCCATCACCTCTCTCTATGATATCATTCCCTTCCAGCACATCGTCCAAATAACCACCTCTGAAAAAAAATCGTCAGCATACAGCGTTGACACTACTGATCTCGAATTCTAACTCGATATAACGCACATGAAATCAATCTCCAAGGTGAGAGTGACGCAGACGAAACCTTGAGACAGGAGCCCCCCACCCCCACCCCCACCCCCGTAGCTAGCTCCGCCCACCGTAACAGACATCGGACAATAGAGAGGCTCACGTGTAATCTTCTGTTATAACTCCTTGATTATATTAAAAGTCAACCTTATCTAGTCAGATTTTTTTTTTATATATACACAATACATCAAGAATACATGACAATACAAATACAAACAAACAGACACTCGCTCACACACTCACACATAAGAGATGTTATACTATATAACACTTTTTAGTTAATTACATTGTCATACGCTAAATATTCAAATTGAAATTATCTTAATTATATTTGAATTGTACTGACAGATTGACTTATCTGTTTTCACCAGATATCTAAGCGATGAAATCAAACCTAATGTTGGTTTACCCTGTGAACATCTTCTTAAGTAAATATAAAATTTAAATTGCAACATAATGAGATTAATAATTGGAGAGAGGCTCATAGAGCCGACTAAGCAATTCCTTTTTGAGACAGGTAGAGTAACTTGAGTATTAGCTAATATATTTTCTACCAAGTCGGTCAATAATTTTTGGGTAAGCGCACAATTCCAGAATAAATGCTCTGTTGTTTCTTCAGCTCCTTTGCAAAGGGAACATATACTGTTGTCGACCATTTTATATTTGAAAAGCAGTGAATTTGTGGTAAGAATATTATGATTAATTCGAAATTGGAACCAGTGAAGCTTTGAATTTTTTGTTATTGTGAAAGGAAGTTTGAAAATCTTCGGGCATTCATTTTCCTCCAAATTTAACAACTCCTTCCATTTATTCATACCTTTTGACCTCTCAAGAACACCTGCTTTACTTTAAGTTTTATAATAAATCTTTGAACCTTTTGAACAACCTGACAGCAAAAATATATGATCAGGAATTAAAGGAGTGGCAATTTTACTTAATTTTTCAGGAATACCACCAAGCCATTCTTTTATGGCTGAGATAATTCCATGGTATTCGACAAAATTTGTGTCAATACCGTGGATATCCCTGAACGCAGTGAAGTCATAGAACTCTCCAGAGTCCAGGAGTAGATCATTAACAAATCTAATGTTTTTGTCATACCACGATGTATGGAAGACAGGTTTATTTCCAATAAGTATATTTTCATTTAGAAAGAGTGGAATGTTACCAAAATCCTTGATTTTATTGGCCATTATTGTACCACAGAGTTCTTTCCAGGATGCTAAGGCATCAATCCAGAATCTATTTTTTATGTTTTTCAAGATTTTTGAGATATATTCTGTACCACATGTGATTAGTTTTTCAGTGTCTACATATTTAGATATAATATTTTTCCAATCTTTATTTTCGAACATAAGTTTTCTTACCCATGGAATTTTTAACGATTTTATAAAATGCCTCACGCTTACCATCCTCAAGCCCCTAGCTTTATAATCTCTTATAATGATATTTCTTTTAATTTTATCAGGTTTATTATTCCAGAGAAAAGAAAAAAGACACTTTTCTAATATTTAATCTGTTTTTCCTCTGGGTTTGGGAGCGATATAAATATATGATTCAATACCGACAAGGCTAATGTTTTTATTACTGTATTTTACCAATTGGTGTTATATTTCTTTCTCTCCACTGATTAAATATTTTTTTCATGGAAGTTAATTTGGTCTCCATATTTTGCTTCGTTATCTTACCTAAATCTACGTCAAATTCTATCCCTAGCATTTTGAAACTAGTTTTTCCCCAATCTAATCTATATTTTGGGCAGAGGATATCTTTAGAGTGTCGCTTTGACCCAATCCATATAACTTCAGTTTTAGAGAGATTAATATGCAGACCGGAGATCTTCGAAAATTTATCCAAGACAAACATACATTCATTCAGTGACTTTTCACTCCCGTCAAGTATAAGAGTAGTGTCATCTGCATATAATGAAATTTTTAATTCTTTTGCACCTATATTAATACCTGTTATATTGTCATTGTTTCGTATAAACGCCACCAATATTTCGGCGCATAGAATTAAGAGATAGGCTGAGAGGGGATCCCCCTGACGGCATCCTCTATTAATTTTAAAGAATTCCGACATATTCCCCCCTTGATTTACTGTAGCAGAGATGTCATTGTAGAACAATGATACCCATCTCCTGACTGAATCACCAAAGTTAAAAAAGGTCAGAACCTTTTGAATGAATGACCAAGACAAGGAATTGAATGCCTTTTCAAAGTCAATTAATAACAGTAACCCAGGAATATTTTCTTCCTCAGTATACTGCATTCTATTGTATATAAGTCACGTGTTCTCTCCGATATATCTACCAGCACGATATATCTATCATCAGCACAGGTCAGTGCAATAACAATATTGCTACACTGGTGATTCTCTTCAATCCCACTGTGAACATTGCCCCCTATATATGTTATACCTGAGAAATTATTATTTTGGAAAAGGGTCACTTAGATCCCACTCAGTTATATATTTTCAAGGTGACAAGGGTTAATGTGAACTGTTCGGAGTTGGGGAAGCGAGGCTTTGCTTAGCATGAATCTTTATTTGGACAAAATTTCATGTATACATTCTGATACCTGTGTATTGCCTGTTGTGACATTGAATGTGTCTGTATGTATTCTCATCACTGTCTATATGTGTCTTTATTGTTGCTGTTTGTGTTTATTATAATATAACAGGGGCGGATCCAGAGCTATATACTGACAGTCTTCAAAATTATCTTTGTTGATTCATCCTCCAATTTTGACCGTCTTCCAACATGAAAAATTGGATACCCGTCAATGTAAACTTGAAAATCTGACCGTCTTCTGGAAGACCCAGAAGACGGCCTAAATCCGCCCCTGTATAATGATATATTTTGGTCACTGTGTTCTTTCTGTGTTATAACTACTGTATGTGTCTACAGATATATTTTTTATTGATGATGTATTATCTGTTATCAGTAGAGATGAAGGTGTGTTTCCTGGATTATCATCTCGCTGAGCACAGCTGAACTCATCTTAACCTTGCAGCCTCCTCACAGGTCGGTACAACAATGATATTGCTACACTGGCAATTCTCTTTAGTCCCACTGTGGCCATTAATTGCTTCTATATGTTGTACCTTAGAAATAATTATTTTGAAAAAGTGTCACTCATTTAGATCCCACTCAGTTAGGCAGTTCTTTTTAATTACCTGTTTCTCAAACAATTTTTATTTTTATCAGAGGTCGGAGGGGAGAAAAAATAAATATTTTTCAAAATAATGACTTTTTGGTCACTCATTTTCAAAACTACATTAGACAATGGTAAATACTGGTTTTAACACAGTATAGCAATTTTTGGATAAAAACAGCAGTTCCTTTTCAATGTTTTATTTGTCTAAATGAATGTCAATTCAACGAATCATCCTTGTAAATTACAAAACAAAAAACAGTTTGCCTTTCTATGCATTCACGATGGCAGTGCACAAAACAGTTCTTTGTCAATCTTGATGCAATATTATGTATGATTTAATGATTAAGTGGAAAATCATCAAATTTAAATTACTTCATGTAACATGGCCATCCAGAAACAATATGGCTTCATGCCCATGTAAGTTCCAAGTCCCACATAGAAAACACCAATACATGTATATGAAAAATGACCATTTCACAAAAACGGCATTACTTCCATAAAAAGAATCCAATCAGGCTATATTTCAGACCTTTGAATCTTTCAATAAGTTTGAGAATCATCTTGTTAAATGGCCTTTCTTAAATGGTCACTATGGCAGCTGCACTAAACTAGCCAGTCTCTCTCTGCATATGGCATGGGCTTCTATACCATAGCTCCTCTGTCAGTGTCTCTGCTATGTGTTTTCCAAGATTTTTGGCCTGTCCAGCCCGAAGACAAAGATTGAAGTCTTCCACTACTGGCGAGATAGAATTATACATTGCCTGCCTTGCATTACTTGGGGATTCACTAAAAAAAAATATTTCAGATAAGTTAACTGAGTTGGATGTGTGCCTTCTCTTAGCTGCATAGGAATAACCTTGCGCGCGTTACACATCACAGGACTTGTGTAACTACCCACGTGCTACGATTTTTCCCTTGGGCGGGCGTCAAGCGGACATTTTGTACAGGAGCAATGCAAAGATGGGTGAGAACGATACGTTGTTTTTAACCGAAGATGATGTCCCCGGGGCGAAACTGCCTACACCAAAAGTAAAGGATCATACCAACGTTGTTTTGAAACGATGTGGTTAGCCTATCAGTGGCGAGTTAGGGAGAAAAGAGCAGCACTGATAGTAAGGTACTGTGTACACGTGAACCGGCAAAGTTAATGATAATTTCATGTTGCAAAAGCATAATTAAATTAGTTAGTTATTTTCCAAACGATATTATTTGAATAGCAGATACATAGGTCAAACTAACTATAATATAAAATTTTGATGACACTGAAAATCAAAACCTGCGGTGCAAGATAGGTTGAGGATGACACTGCCACAGCAAGTAATGCATGAAATTTTGTTGCATAACACTCTATGCTTGTGTCGTTGTTAACTTTGCGGTATTATTGCTGCTTAAATTAATACCTGATCTTATTTCTCAGGCTACCAAGTACGTATCAACTTTTTTTGTGGCATTAATTAACCTCCATGTTCCATCATGTGTGCAGGTTGTTTCTTATATTATTATTGTTATTATTATTTGTTCAAGCACATTTTGATAAAGTGGCTATGCTTTAACAAGAGAAAGTCAAGATTTATGCTGAAGTTTAAAAGATTAAATCATCACTAGTATGTACAATTAAAGCTATTTGATTATGCATATTTGATTTTCAATTATCTTGATTATGGTATGAGGTTTCTGCCTTTTTCTCTCGCCCTGAAATCAATATATAACAAGTAAATTGATGGTGCTTTATTACAATTTTTGCTGTACACTTTCAGATGCAAAAACTGTGTAGCAGTTGGTAAAGCTGTAGAGATTGATGTGAGCAAAGACAAGGGGAAATGGTATCAGAGAAACTAGGAGAACAAGATAATGTAGATCCATCATCACAGCAAGGGTAGTTGGTGTGATCTTGTCCCTGAAGCTGTGCCACAAGTTTTCAACTGGTTGAGTCCTTACTAAGACAAGCTGCTGCCGTGTGAATCGCAATATGTACATTCAGGTTATGTGTGGCAGATTTATGACAAAAGAAACCTTCATAATATACTTCAAAGGAGTTATCCTTGCATCTATGCCTCCTCAAAAGTACACAGTTACAGTGACTAGAACATTGTCTGCATATAGTGAGGCAGTGAAGGCTGTCGTGGTTTTCTGTTGTTATGTAACTTATGTAACTTAAGTGTACATTTTTTTAATAACTCATTTATTACATAACACATCCAGCCATGCTGGCTAACTGGTAGAGAAGGAACAATGCATTATGGGAGATATGTTAATTACATTACAATATACAACATCTCCCTTTTTTTTAATTAAAAAAAAAATCTTTCAATTATTTTTTTTAAGTTGCTAATAAACATAATCAGTTCACTGTCCGTGTTGTCTTTGTCTCCAAGACATTGCAATGTTCACAGTTCATAGACACATGTAAATGTTCATTTTTTTTTTTAACACAAAAGTCAACAGAATCTCAAGTCCAGAGTTCATAAATGAAACAATTATGATTAAGCTTATTCAAATTACAGTCAATTTTGTGACATCTTTCACAACTGACTTGTTACAGTCACTATTACTGAATTTATTCATAAGTTCAATCTCTCTGGAGGTTTAATGTTCCTGCTTGATCTGCGTAAGGGTTGAGATTGAGGTGTTTCACATTTTGTAACAGTCTCTGTGTTTGTAATGTCAACAAGAGGTTCATCAGTTTCCTCAATCTCATTGTTTCTGAAATCAAAATGTTCTTTTGTCTTATGAATGTGTTTNCAAGAGCCTGATCTAGAGTCAAATCTTCTTCTCTTTGTAATAATTTCGCCTGAATTCTCTCCAAGTTTGTGCCAAAAATAAGAGTGTCAATTATGTGTTGATCAACATCGGTATATTTGCATTCATTTGCCACGAGTCTGATTCGTCTGACAAAAGAATCAATGCTCTCACCTGCTTCTTGTCTGCATGCTCTAAGTTTAAATCTCTGAATTCGAAAGTTACTCTTGGGCTTCGTGTATTCTTCCAATTTTTGCCAATACGAGGTCAACACGTCTGGATCATCAATGTTAAAAGTTTTCACAATTTCGCGGCCTTTTTCTCCGATCCAAAGGAGAAGAAATTTCACTTGTCTTTCCTCTGATACAGCATCTAAAGGTCCTTGGAATATCAATTCACACTTTTCCTTGAAAAGTTTGAAAGTACGCGGTAAGTCCATGGATTCCCAGTCCATGTGAGGCGGCTGTATCCCATACATGTGCTCCATTTTTTTTGTTTTTTTAGTGATTCAAAATCCGTTTTTATCTTGTAGTTTGTGGGTCATCCAATCTCCAAATCATGCTACATCCAATGTAGATCCCGATTCTGACACCATGTCGTGGTTTTCTGTTGTTATGTAACTTATGTAACTTAAGTGTACATTTTTTTAATAACTCATTTATTACATAACACATCCAGCCATGCTGGCTAACTGGTAGAGAAGGAACAATGCATTATGGGAGATATGTTAATTACATTACAATATACAACAAAGGCTGCAAGGTGCCATTGTTTTTCAGTATTAAGAATGACAGTATCTGTTTTTTTTTTTTTTTTTTTTTTTTTTTNTGTCATGTCTGTATGTAGAGTTTCTCTTGCTCAGATTTCTATAGTTATTGAGTGCATTATGAAGTTTACTGACTGATGGTTGGCAACTGAAAATAACCTTGTCACGCAACCCTATTGTATAATTCAAAAGACAGCAAACAATTGCTTAGCCAGATTGTTGAAAATACAAAAAACAGCAAGGGTAATATGGCCTGTTATGGAACTGTGGTCTTAATTTTAATTAAATCTAAATGGCAGCAACAACTTAACTTATTTAATATTATTGAATGATCCACCCTTTTTATCAGGAAAAGGTCTGCTCTAGATCAAAATTGATCTAGGTGCATGAAGGTTTTATGGTAAATGGTTCACTTTTTCAGAAAAAGAACCCTCTTTTGAAATTGCTGGCTACAGGCCTGGTTAAACTTAATATCTATATACGCCTTAAAAACTTGGTGGAAAACTTAATTGAACTATGAATTCATGTTGACAGGCTCATTATCCAAAGCACATGATAGTTTACAGCTATTACCTGCCTTAATTTAATTAAAAAAATGTCAAAGACACGATGCTTCAGTATAGAAACATCTGCTGTTGTGAGCGAGCAATTAGCATTTAACATACGTTTTTGTGAAAGTGCAAGAAAGGACATTTACCAACATATCAATGCCTAAAATACATTCACCTTAAAAAACCATGACCCTCTAGACTGATAAAATGAAAAAAAAAATACTCATCATTTCTGGAGGCTTTCAGAAGTAGGCCTACGCGAGTGCTGCATTAAAAATCCAATGCGCTCTGTATTTGGATGTTCTCAGAGAGTTTAGTTGAGCCTGCATCTTTTGGTGTTCACTGCCAACTGTTATCTGAATGCACCTAATGTCAATATCTACCACTGTAGTGACCGGCATTCTAAGGCTCTGTTCTCACAACTTTTAGATCGATCTATCACCGCGGGGAGTCTCACTAGATTACTGTCAGATAATCCCCCTTAAGTGTCCGTCCCCGCCTACTACAAGCTTTAAGGGGTAATTAACTTTCGTGTCCGCCCGGCTGACAGCTATTTAGCGTGAACCCCCAGGGAGTTAGGTCGATCCAATGTAGGTCGATCTAATCTATGAGAATGGGGTGTTACATTCAGTTCAGAACCTATTTTTGCTCCCTGTTGAAACTTCTACACATGACAAGTGTTGCAGTTGATATTTTCATTTCTGACAGAAAGCAGTCAATAAAATGGCCTAAAACGTCTGTAACACTGGCCGGACAGACCTTTTTGCATAATATCTTTGGTCCTTCCTTCACTATAACACTGAGCCACACAACAGTGGTCAATTTCCTGCTTAAGTAGAGACAGCTACTCCAGTATGCGTCTCCTGCCATGTTGTATTAATTTGACACATGCAGTGTAAAATATCAGCGAAGCATTGATTGGCTTAAAAACCAGAAGCTGGGGGAAATGAACCAATTGTTTACTTTGGCTTAAATACCCTTCGTTTTGAACTTATAGGCAGTCATGTGACGCAGGAGTCCCGTGAAACTTGTTATGTTTCATGTTTACGATCGAACAGTACGATCAGTCAGAAGTCGGGGGAAAAAATAAAAGTATTTTTGATTTCAATTTTTTTTTTTTTTCTATTTTGGCCTTTTTGAGGTCGGCGAAGCTTGAGAAACAGGTTATTAAAAAAAACTGCCTTATATGTATTTTTAAGGTGACAAGGGTTAATGTTAACTGTTCAGAGTTGGGGGGCGTGTGAACTGTTTGGGGGGGGGTTAGCTTAGCATAAATCTTTATATGGACAAAATTTCATGGATACATTCTGATACCTGTGCATTGTCTGTTGTGACATTGAATGTGTTTGTATGTATTCTGATCACTATGTCCTTATTGTTTCTGTATGTGTTTATTATAATATATTAATATATTTTGATCACTGTGTTATTTCTGTATTATAATTACTGTATGTGTCTACATATATATTTTTAATTGATGATTTATTATCTGTTTTCAGTAGAGATGAAGGTGTGTTTCCTGTATTATCAACACACTGAGGACAGCTGAACTCATCTCAACCTTGCAGCCTCATCACAGGTCGGTACAACAATGATATTGCTACACTGGCAATTCTCTTTAATCCCATTGTGAACATTGCTGCTATATATTGTACCTGAGAAATTCTCATTTTGGAAAAGGGTCACTTAATTAGATCCCACTCAGTTTTATATATATTTTCAAGGTGACAGCGGTTAATGTAAACTTTTCGACGTTGTGGGCTGGGGGGGAGGGGGTTCGCTTAGCAGATATCTTGATAAAGACAAAATGTCTTTATTGCCGCTGTTTGTGTCTATTATAGTATAATAATATTTTTTAATCACTACGTGTTATGTCTGTGTTTTAACTACCGTATATGTCTACACATATACGTATATTTTATTAATGATTTGTTATCTGTTTTCAGTTGAAATGAAGGTGTGTAAATTTCCTGTATTATCATCACACTGAGGAAAGTTGAATTCATCTGTTCACCATCTCGTTCTACAGCCACACAGTATAAGCAAAGGTCAGTGCAACAACATTATTGCTATACTGGTGATTCTATTCAATCCCTTTGTGACCATCGCCACTATATATGTTGTAACTATGAAATTATCATTTGGAAATGGGTCATTGAGATCCAAATCAGTTTTAATATGTTCAAGGTGACAAGGCTTAATGTGAACTAGCTGTTTGGAGTTGGGGGGCGAGGGTTCGCTTAGGAAAATCTTGATATAAACAAAATTTACATATTATATACATACATCTTGATGCCTTAATTTGCATTGTTGAGACATTGAGTGTGTCTGTATGTATTCTGATCACTGTCCATGTGTCCATGTGTATATCTTTCTTGTCACTGTATGTGTTTATTATAATATAATTATATATTTTGATCACTGTGTTACACATTTTTTTAAAAATGGCCCACTTTTTTTTTACCAAGTGGGCCAAAATGGCCCAACCAGATTTTGACCCAGGAATTAAGATCCCTATTATTCTAAGGAAATTCTGATGGATTTACTTTTTAAAACATAAAATCAATAGAATGTTTCTAATATAAATTTTGAAAACAAGAGCAGAGGGCAAATTAAATAAAATCAACCAGCGGATAAACACCGGCAGGCTTTCTCAATTTCACCAACTTGTATTTCAAACAGTGCACTTTTTGCTCATGCGCAGTCGTTTGAATCCCGTGCTATTGTGTACAATTTATTTGAATGAATTATAGAAATCAATTTGTTCATTTTCCTTTGGTTTGTTACGTATTTTCTATTTCAAGATATGATATTTTACTGCTTGGAGATGCTCTTCCCATTACTGCATTTTACAATGTAGTGCTTGCTTTATCTTCTTGGCGGCAGCACCTTACAGTGAAGTCTTCATTTAATCTCAGTGATTTACGGTAATGTGCCAAGCATTTTGACAGGCCCAGTCAATCCGACCAAAAAAATTATATAATAAAATTAATTTTTCTGGGCTCAAACATTTAGTCCATACGTCAAAATCATGCGCCAGAATTTTTTTCTTGTTCCGATTGTTCGACCACATCGTCGGCAAGACTTGGTAAATTTTCAAGCCAGTCATATAGATGCTGCATGCCGGGCCCTTTGTCAATTGTTGTCCTTTCAATAGCTCTCGTCAATGAGGAAGAAACTATTAATTGAAGATCTAATCTGGAAGCATGACGTACCTGTCATTTCTTTTGTCCCCGATGACAAAATAGTGTTAAAGACATACAATCTGTGCTAATTAAGCAGACTTGCCCTTGCTGACTGATTCATCACGCCCGTAACTGGGGAAGGTCCATTCTGGATGAAACCAAATATCGACAGTGAGTAGAATACGTCGTAAACACCTTCATATAGACCATATATAGCGTTTGCTACCAATAAAAAGTTTGGGAAGAATATAAGCAATTTATTTTCAAGTTTGATTGAAATATATATGCAGATGGGGAAACGTTCTTGAAGTCAACACCGCAAGATTTTACATTTACTACAATCGACCGAAAGATCAGCGGGATCGACCGCCAGACTTCTTGGCGCCAAATACCACGCGCTGTCAAAATCTGACGAACATGTGTAGCTGTTCACCTACATGGATAACTGATTTGTCAACAATAAAAATGAAGTCTTCCTTAACTCCATGAGAGCTTCATAGAGAGTTCCACTGGACATTAACGTTACCTGTGAGTCACTTTTTATTTCCCCAGATGCATGAAATGTTGATGATATTTAGCGTAATCCACAAAGAACTCCATTCCTGTGACCCCCCCTCCCCCAAAATGGGACCGTCTTCATTAACATGTGGTTTGCGCTATGCTGGACCACACCAGATAAGACCAGTCTCATTTCTGCATGTGCTCAATTCTCGCGTCAAATTATAAATGCACTTGTTTTGTGAAAATTATGGCAATTAAATGCTTTTTTTTTACGTTCGGGTTGTATCAGTGGGGTTTTCAATATGCACCGTGGTTTGTGCACAGCGAGAGTATATAAGTAAGAAAATCGGAAGAGTGCAAGCAAGATAGGCCTACTGTACGTCTATTGGCACAGGTAGGCTCCGTATTTTGCCTTTTCTCAATGTTTTAATATGACATGCTTTTTAAATAAAATACTTATAAGTAATTTGAAGTTACACTGAATTCCGTTTGAGTACCAGTTGGTATTCTTTGATACGGGTGATTGAATTTTCTTCGGAAGTATGTCTACGCCTCGACGCTGAGCAATTCGGTTGATTTCAGTTGTCATATTAAAATTCAAATAGGGCGTACGTAGATCACATAACTAGTTTAAGTCTACTGACGCTACCGGTTTCAAATATAAGTGACCGGCCTTTGTTTACAACACCTGTTTGGGGAAATACTCGTCCCACTCGTGAAGCGCATCATGAAAATGATCGTAGGTGAGGGAAATATATAATTAGAAATTATAATTGTCGTCTTTTTATGTACAGACACAGATGTGTCTGTACATATAGCCATCATCTGCGTCTGTCGTCGCCGTCGGCGCCATCGTCGCCGTCGTCGCCGTGCACTTTTACCGATAACCCGATAAGTGGAAAACCATTTTACCTTTTGACTTGAAACTTGCAGAACTGATGAATATTCATAATACACAGGTCAAGTTCGAAAATCAGCATGATTGGGTCACTTTTAGGGAATTTATGCTGTTTTTTCACTTTTTTCAGCATATATGCAGCACCGATAACACGATAAGTGGAAAACCATTTTACCTTTTGACTTGAAACTTACAGAACTGATGAATATTCATAATACGCAGGTCAAGTTCGAAAATCAGCATGATCGGGTCACTTTTAGGGAATTTATGCTGTTTTTTCACTTTTTTCAGCATATATGCAGCACCGATAACACGATAAGTGGAAAACCATTTTACCTTTTGACTTGAAACTTACAGAACTGATGAATATTCATAATACGCAGGTCAAGTTCGAAAATCAGCATGATCGGGTCACTTTTAGGGAATTTATGCTGTTTTTTCACTTTTTTCAGCATATATGCAGCACCGATAACACGATAAGTGGAAAACCATTTTACCTTTTGACTTGAAACTTACAGAACTGATGAATATTCATAATACGCAGGTCAAGTTCGAAAATCAGCATGATCGGGTCACTTTTAGGGAATTTATGCTGTTTTTTCACTTTTTTCAGCATATATGCAGCACCGATAACACGATAAGTGGAAAACCATTTTACCTTTTGACTTGAAACTTACAGAACTGATGAATATTCATAATACGCAGGTCAAGTTCGAAAATCAGCATGATCGGGTCACTTTTAGGGAATTTATGCTGTTTTTTCACTTTTTTCAGCATATATGCAGCACCGATAACACGATAAGTGGAAAACCATTTTACCTTTTGACTTGAAACTTACAGAACTGATGAATATTCATAATACGCAGGTCAAGTTCGAAAATCAGCATGATCGGGTCACTTTTAGGGAATTTATGCTGTTTTTTCACTTTTTTCAGCATATATGCAGCACCGATAACACGATAAGTGGAAAACCATTTTACCTTTTGACTTGAAACTTACAGAACTGATGAATATTCATAATACGCAGGTCAAGTTCGAAAATCAGCATGATCGGGTCACTTTTAGGGAATTTATGCTGTTTTTTCACTTTTTTCAGCATATATGCAGCACCGATAACACGATAAGTGGAAAACCATTTTACCTTTTGACTTGAAACTTACAGAACTGATGAATATTCATAATACGCAGGTCAAGTTCGAAAATCAGCATGATCGGGTCACTTTTAGGGAATTTATGCTGTTTTTTCACTTTTTTCAGCATATATGCAGCACCGATAACACGATAAGTGGAAAACCATTTTACCTTTTGACTTGAAACTTACAGAACTGATGAATATTCATAATACGCAGGTCAAGTTCGAAAATCAGCATGATCGGGTCACTTTTAGGGAATTTATGCTGTTTTTTCACTTTTTTCAGCATATATGCAGCACCGATAACACGATAAGTGGAAAACCATTTTACCTTTTGACTTGAAACTTACAGAACTGATGAATATTCATAATACGCAGGTCAAGTTCGAAAATCAGCATGATCGGGTCACTTTTAGGGAATTTATGCTGTTTTTTCACTTTTTTCAGCATATATGCAGCACCGATAACACGATAAGTGGAAAACCATTTTACCTTTTGACTTGAAACTTACAGAACTGATGAATATTCATAATACGCAGGTCAAGTTCGAAAATCAGCATGATCGGGTCACTTTTAGGGAATTTATGCTGTTTTTTCACTTTTTTCAGCATATATGCAGCACCGATAACACGATAAGTGGAAAACCATTTTACCTTTTGACTTGAAACTTACAGAACTGATGAATATTCATAATACGCAGGTCAAGTTCGAAAATCAGCATGANGCCTTGTTTAATGTTAAGTAATGTTAGCACATATTATACACAGCAAAATAAGATTTTAAAAGGAGGATAAAACAAGCCTGAAACACGTGTTAGGCGAAAATTGCGGCTTATCTTGCGTAACACTTCCGGTAAAATGCAATACTTCCGGAAAGATGGACGTTTTGGCAGATGCCCCTAACAATCCGACGATATCAAAGGTTTCCATTTGCTGTATTTTAATCAATTCGACCAAACTGACATTTCCATGAAATTAATTAATTAATCTTGGTCAAATTGTTTGGCATATTACCGTAATCTCAGTGTGTGTTTCTGTTTGTGTGAATGTGTGAGAGAGAAGGAGAGAGAGAGTTAGACCCCATTCCCAGAGATCAGATCGATCCAAACTAGATCGACCTAACTCCCTGAGGGTTCACGCTAAATAGCTGTCAGGCAAGCGGGCACGAAAGTTAATTACCCCCTTACAGCTTGTAGTAGGTGGGACGGACATTTAAGCCGGATTATCTGACAGTAATCTAGTGAGACTCCCCACGGGGATAGATCGATCTAAAATCTATGGGAATATGCCCTTTGTGTGTGTGTGAGTGTGTGAAAGAGAGAGAGTGGAGGGA